TGTGATAAATTAATTACGTTTACTTACCTGTGATAAATTAATGTTTACTCAATGAGAATAATTTAATCCCTGACAAACTATGATTCCCAAAACAGGACCTTTTGGAATTCTTGGACATGAGTAACTACAACCGACTTATAACAGCTTCATTTCAACAGCAACTTGATTCTGAAATAATAAATCGTGAGATCTAACATAAAGCTAATAGGGTACGGTGAAGGGAGGGCAACCAGAGGGTTTGGAGTAATCTGGTGGCCCAATCTTTTCTCCGGCATTAGCCAGGGGAAGTTAAACCCTAAGATTCTATGTTGCTAAAGTAATGCTTTGATTTATTTAACGTTTGATTATTGACTCGGTTGTGTTTTCATTTTTTTGCAATTCAAGCTTCTTAAGCCACAGAAGAGAAATTTTTATTGACAAAATCACTTATAACTCACATGTCTAACCAATAGACATGTGAGTGTTGTAACTTCTCATTTCACGTTTTGCAGTACGGATGGCTAGACAACAAGCGGCAAGATTTCATTTTTACATACATATATTAGCCTTTTTTTGCAACTAACAAATACTACTACTAATAAAAAGTTTTAATGGTGTTATCATGATTTTGGTTAAAACAATCTTGTCACACTGTGTCGCTGAAATTTTATCTCAGTACCCAAGCCAAAATGGTGACTAAAGTAATTTCTATGTGAATTTCTGAAAGAAAACTAAAGCAAGTCAGTGTACACTCCATCACCTGCTGCATAGAGCCCTGCGTCAAAGAAAAATAATGATGATTATAATAATAGTAATTACAATAATAATAATAATAATACGTCACCAGCTAACAACAGTCCATAAATAAACTCACTGCCCAAGAAGAAAAAATTACAACCCAAGAAGTGCAAAGTTCCGTCGGCTGATATTGTTCATTTCTACTGCATGTAATTTTCTCCATACTAGAGTACGCCTCCTCAGTCTTTGCTGGCTTGTCTAAGAATCTTGCTTGCTATGCTATCTCGAGAACGTGCAAAAAAGGGCCCTTTCCATCATTTGGCCTGGTATTTCGTATGAAACACCACTTGACATAGCTGCATTATCCACTCTTTCTGACCATCGGGCAGTCTCCTGTATTAAATTTATAGGTAAGGTTCGGCCAGGTAACCCGTTATACCCACTTATACACAACAGACGGACTCCACATACTTCTTTTCTGAACACATACCAATGCTTTAAAGGGTTGTAACCCTCAACAGACTCAAAATGGCAAACAAAGACTCGTATGGTCAATGGCCGCCTTCACTTCAAATGGTTTTGAAATCAAAACCTCAGTGCTTTTGAACTTTGAAAGTCCCACTAAGGTAAATTATTAATTAATCCATTCACTTGTCGAACTTTTAAGCGCGACAACCCCCCAATTCCCAGGGAGTTTTAGCCTAAAAATTTGCGAGGGCGTATGCGTGGAATAAATCATATGCACGGTAAAACCAAAGACAAGATCAAGTTTCCAAACAAACTCTCTTTTGAAGTGGAATAAATAAGTGACTAGAAAATGAAAACTAAACGCTGTTTAACCAAATGAATCGGTACAAATGGTCAAAAGGACTATGGAAATCGAATAATTTCTTTACCGCATGACAAAACGCACAAAAATAAATATCTCACGGGTCACACAAAACACATGAGCAAACAATGATCAAAGCCAAAATGAGTAAAAACACGATTTCTAAATACTGTGCCTTACTTTAACTAAAGTTTATTGAAGTTTTGTTTCAGATAAATCTGGTTTAAGACAGGTGAAGCCACAAAGAGAGGAATAACTTCAGTGTAAACAAGCTGCAAGCGCTTTGCATCAAGCAAGGAAATGTGCACTCTGTACATTACATAAAAGACACACAAATGGGTTTCCAAATCAAGTTTATTCAAACATGAAAGATAAATGGTAGCCAAATTATAAAATGGGCCAATCATGAAAGAACTGTAGCCAAAAAACTGGCAAAGGGAAAACCCAAATGTGTAAATGCGTTAGAACACGCAAATCGAATTATCTCATCAAGTAAATTAACCACAGCCAAAGGGTAAAAAAGGTCAAGCAAAACAACAATCATTTTCAAAAAATAAATACTCTTGTTTCATCTTAAAGTGATACTGTCTCAATTCCACTCCCTGAAACTGTTTTCCTACCAACCTTCTTACTATGAACGCAAACTTTCTTTCTACCTTTAATCTTTACAATGAAATGAGAACCCGTGTTTGGGGGAGAAAGCGCTAATTCGTCAATTTGCGGTGCTCTGCTGAATGGCCTGCCAAAGATACAGATGAAAATTCCCCGATCAACTGCTTAGCTAACGTTAGTCTAAAAGTTAATTGTGGCTCTTTGCCTTTCCCTTGCTCTAAACTGTAGCTATAAAAAGGAGAAAAGAATTAGAAATTGAAATGTCCATTAAAAACCAAAAGATATATCTATACCACTTATACGAACTACGACCTATGGAATAATGTTGACGTGGCTGATCTGCAAGATCAACACCGCCCATGTG